AGGTAAGTGTTCTAGGAACCCAACGGCATCAGTGTACTAGCTAGCATTGTTGTGAGAAGCTGTGTTCGGTTTCAAAGAACTTTTTTGGAGATTCTTTCAATGCCTTTGCCCATTTCATGATGTGTGATTGATGAGTGCGCCTGACTGTAGTGCGCTGAGTGTTCAGCAGTTTTGGCCAAAAATGGTATGACCCTGTGTCCTACCTTTCCTGTTCACCCCATCTCGCTCCAAGCAACATATTTTTTTGCTTGTTTCCCCGATGAAAAGGGTCCTTTAAGGGAAAGGTTTTGCTAATGTGGAAGAGTAGAAACAAAAAACAGCAGAAGCACTAAAAGGCATCGAAATCTACAAATTCAAAAACTGTTTTGAGCAGTGGAAAAAGTGTCTAGCGATAGGTGTATCGCAACAAACGGAGAGTACTTTGAGGGTGACTGAAATTTAGACATGTAAGAATAAATACACAATGTTTTATAAATAAATTCCACTTTGGGGAGCCTCCCTTGTATAATGCCAACTATATGACGTTTTGGAAAAGACACAACTATCTGGAGACACTAAAAAGATCAGTGGTTGCCAGGGTTGGGGAGGAGGAATAGACAGAGAGATGAGTATCTAAAGCAAAGGGGACTGAAATTATTCTGTATGATTCTGTATTGGTGGATACAAGATATTACACATTTAGCAAAACCCATAGAATTGACAACACAAAGAGTGAACCCTAAGATAAACTATCGACTTTTGTTAATAACAATGTGACAACGTGAGTTCTCCAGTTATGACAAATGTACCATATTAATGCAAGATGTTAATAACAGGGGAAACTGTGAGCATGGGAGAGAGGGGAATCAGGGGAATTTTCTGTACTAACTGTCCCATGATCTGTAAACCCGAAAGTTTACAGTTTGCTCTAAAAAAAAAAAAAAAAAAAAGTCTAGTGACTGGGTCTGTAGTTCCAGATATTTGGAAAGCTGAGGGAGAAGGCTAGACTGAGCCTAGCAGGTCGAGGCTGCAGTGGCTGTGATTGTGCCACTGCACTTCAGCCTGAATGACAGAGTGAAACTCTGACTCAAAAAAAACCCCAAAAACCTATTAATATCTTTTAAAAGCAAAAGAAATTTAGAAACAGTCAATGAAGTTGGTTGTCAAATTGGTCAGTGGAAAAGCTAATGTAATATTTAATGAGAGGAACGTGGGTTCAGAAACACTCTAATTAAATGGTTTAATAATCCATCTTTGACAAGAACTGTCTGCTATGAGACCATATTGGAATAAGCTATAGTCTCCATGTAATTAGGAGTAAGAGTTGAAATAAAGTCTACACTGACATAAACCATAAGCAGATATAGATAAGGAAGATAATGCTACTTATCATTATATACATCCTTTTTATTTTTTTGAGTGGGGGTCTCACTTTGTTGTCCAAGTTGGGCATGGATCATAGCTCACCTCTTAGGCTCAGGTGATCTTTCCATCTCAGTCTCCTGAGTAGCTAGGAGTAACTACAGGTGTGTGCCACCACACCCGGCTAATGTTTTTTTCTTTTTTAGTAGAGCCAATGTCTCATTGTGTTGCCAAGGCTGGTCTTGAATTCCTGGGCTCAAGCAATCAGCCTGCGCTGGCCTCCCAAAGTGCTGGGATTACAGGTATGAGCCACCTTGCCAGCCAATGTATGCACACTTTTAAAACCAGTGACTCCCTCAGATCTTGTTTTATTTTCACAAAACTTACTCTATCTGAACCTTGAAGTATCATCAAGGTTGTGTCTACCTGCAAATGTAGATTAGGGTGCCTGTAGAGAAATAAAGATAAAAATAATCGTTTATATCAGTCTAGTACTAGCCAGTTATTATGGAGGCGACAAATTGCCTTATATTTTGTTATTCATACCTCTTTCATTCTACACATCTGTGCAAGTTAGCGCCTTGCTTCATTTTAGATTTCAAATAGTGCTTCGAATCTTTCAATCTGACCTCCCCAGGGCCAGCAGAAGGAGACCAGGGAGCTTAAGTCATTCCCAAACTCAGGGTTCTTTGCTTAGAATTCTTATTTTGAATTTTATAGAGCTAATGTTCATACATCTATATATGAAATTAAAATACAGTAATATATTCATTGTAAATTATGGTTTTAAGTCTTAGATAGGTTACAGTAAGTGGATGAGTTTTTTCAAACCTTCCCTTTCTATAGAACATAGAGAAAACACAGCCTCTGTCAAGGCTAGAACTCAAGTCTTAGGATACCTAATTCAGTGTTTTTTCCGTAAAAGTTGCAATTTTTATATGATTGAAATGTCTTATAGGTAGCCTATCCTGATACGTAAGGAGTAAGTGAGACCTATAATTGTTGACAATATATCTAAATCACAACAGTGCTTGGCACAAAACACATTCTGAGAGGTCAGTAAACTTTTTCCATAAAGAGTTCAAGGATAAATATTTTAGGCTTTGTGGGCCATGTAGTTTCTGTTGCAACTATTCAAAGGTGCCTGTGTAACACAAAAGCAGCACAATTGGTTTCCAATGAAACTTTATGAACACTGAATTTGAGTTTTATATAATTTTCACATATCGTGAAATATTCTTCTTCTGACTGGGCATGATGGCTTACACCTGCAATCTCAGCTCTTCGGGAGGCCAAGGGGAGGATGGCTTGAGGCCAGGAGTTCAAGACCAGCTGGACAACATAGTGAGACCCTGACTCTACTTAAAAATTAAATAAAAAAGAAATATTATCCTTCTTCTGATTTTTTTTCAACCGTTAAAAAAATGTAAAAACCACATTAGCTTGCAGGGTGTGCAAAAACAGGCAGTGAGCTGGGTCTTCAGACCATAATTTTCTGACCTTGGTTCTGTATAATTAGTAGGCATTATGCCTATAATATCTTTCTATATATTTTTAAATGGCTACTTAGAACAAGATTGTTTGATATTCTATAATTTACTTAATTCCCCATGGCAGGAATTTAGATTATTTCCAGCATTCTTAATTATAAGTTATCCTCCAATAAACATCCATGTATTGAAATTCTTGTGCACATATGTTATTATACTCTCACCTTAAAATGTACTTAATGGTTGCTACCAAAATGGCATCTAGAAAGAAACAGACTCTGAAAAAGCATCCATGAAAACTAATTTTCTACAGTTATTGTGAACTTCAAACATGTCAGAGAAGGAGCTTTATAAATACATACTCATACGCATAGAACTTATGTCCCAAACCCCCATCTAAGCCCTTTACATCTATATTATACCATTTAGTCCTCAAAACAAGTATCATCATCGCCAAGCTATGTGACAAAGAGGAAACTGAGGCACAGAAAGGCTAAGTGACTTCTCCAAGGTCACACAGTAAGCTGGTAGCAGAGGCAGGATTCAATCTCAGTTTGAAAGGTGTTGTGGCCCATGTTCATGAACACTAGGTTGCACTGCCTCTTCACGAGAGAGACTTGGCCCGTGTGCTCTTTACAATGTCCCTTTAACGATGGAGGGGAGGTCTTTTTTATCTTCAGAACGACCTCACACTCTCATAACTGCTGCAAAGTTTATCTCGCAATGGGGCGAGATATCCATCTAACCTTCCTCTTGCGTCCTCCATTACCCTCCCCCCAAGGCCAACCCTTCATTACTTTTCCCTGCTTTTTCCTTCCCCCAAATAGGCGTCCCGTAAACAGTAGAGATTGGCCGGCGCATACTTTCATACGCGCTTTTCCAGTTTATGGTCCCAACTCCACACCCGGGGGAGCCTTGCCTACGAGGGTGGGGTCTGAGCCACCATGGGATGACACATTTCGGATAGTTTCTTCTGTGAAAACAGAAACAGCGGCACGGTGTCAAAAGTCTCCCCGGCGTGGCCTCCGCAGTGGCAGCAGCCGGACGGCCCCTCCGAGCCCCCACGCGTCCGGCATCCGTGCGGACCGCAGCCCGGCTCGTCCCGCGCGCTCTCCGGGCCCTTCCCCGCCGTGCTGGGCGACGGACGGCTCTCCCAAAAGGGGTCCTGCGAGCGGGTCGCGCCTGGCGAAGGGGCCAGGGGGCGTCCGGGTCTCATTTCCAACCCTGATGTCCTGCCAGGACCCCACCGCTCGAAAGATCCCGGCGGGGGGTGAGCGACCCGCGCCGCTGGTCCCCCCGATGCCGCCCGCTCCCTGCCCAAACCGGGCCAGCATCCAGCGGCCGAAACCAGAAAAGACAGAAGCGGGCGTGTCAAACT